ATATTTTAAATTTAAGATAAATAATAAATACTATGACATAAAAGGGATATATATTATAAGAATAATATTTTTATATGTAAATCAAAATTATCACTTTCAATCCTTAAATTAAAATTAATGTCCGTAATTTAAAAATCATAAAAAATATCATTTTTTTTATTTGTTATGCTAATTTTTCAAAATTTTCGTATTTCACTCATCTATAATTATTTTTATTGTTATTATTATTATCATTATTATCATTAATAATAATAATATTAAAAAAAATATTTAATTTTTATATATTAAGAAATATTCATTAGAATAAATTAATTTTTTAAACAAATCTAAGTACCTTTAAGAATTGGTCTATAACTTTCGGTCAATATTATCCCAATTCACCCCAAATTTTTTTAGGAAAATTGACATAGAATCTTAATTATTAATAGAAAGAAAACTATATATTTATACATAATAATTGTAATATAATTATTTTTGTGTATACAAATTTTAAACTATCATATTCCTATAATTATTTAAAGTGACTCAATTCTTTAATTATAAATCATTTACTGACATGTAACTTTTATTCTATTTATTTTATTTTGTGTTTTATTTCATTATCCTAAATACCGCAATTAAAACATGAAAACTAATCACACCATAATAATTAGGATAAAATTTTCATACAATATTATAAGTGTTATTAGCATTAATAATATTATATGAAGTTTTATCAAAATGAATATTAGATCTAATTACACTTTTTGTATCATCCATTTTTTTAACTTCATAAATTTTATGATTCAACTTTTAAAATTATATATTTTACATTATTTAACCATTTGATATTATCAATTGACTACTAACATAACATAACATAACATATTAATTGTAAATATATATAATATATTGAATATTGACATACATTATTAATTATAATATCATATAATAACGTGACATAATATAATATATCAGTTTATAAGTTATTACAACAATGACTAATTGATAACATTATGCTGTCAAATAATAAAATAAGAATATACATAAAATTTTAAAAATTGAGCAAAAGTATTCTAAAAAAATATTAAAGATGAGTAATAAAAAAGAGTAGAAAAAGAGATTGTATGGTATAGAAATGTGTTAAAAAAGCTTGTTGTGTTATTAGCACTAGTAAGAGGAAATTTGGAAGAGTAAGAGGAAAGCAAAAGGAGAGATAGGAACGTAAACAAACTCCTCCCTCTGAGTCTCTGACTTTCCTCGGCGCCCAAAAGATGAGAAACCGAAGCGTTTATGCATGGGCAGTGGCACTCGTTTGCTTCCTTGTGCTCATGATCGTTACCCCAGCCATTCCCCAGTCACAGGAGTATCATAATTTCGCCGACCACCGCACCTTCTTCGGTAACCCCATTTCTATTACTCTTCTGCTTCTGTATTTATTTACCCTTTCACTTCTTTTCAATTGGGTCACCTAAAAAATTTCACTTTGACAAGGAATTGGATGGATGGAAAATTTATTTATTTGTTAATGTTCGCTGTTGATTTTCAGGCATTCCTAATGCACTAAACGTGATCTCCAATTTCCCTTTTCTGGTTATTGGCCTCATTGGACTTGTACTATGTCATCATGGAAATTACTTTAGGCTCAGGTACTCTACTGTGTGTTCTGTGATAATCAATTTCTCTCTGCTAACTGCTTCCAAAAATGATGATCCTATTTGTTGCTAATATAAACACGCGTGCCCCAAAAGCTTGCAAGGTGAACTATGGGGTTGGACTTGCTTCTATGTTGGTGTGGCTGCAGTTGCAGTTGGATCTTCATACTATCATCTCAAGCCAGATGATGCTCGCCTTGTGTGGGATAGGTTGCCTGTGAGTTCCTGCTCTTAAAACTGCAATTTAGCACCTGTTTGGTTACAAGTTAGATTTTTTTCTTTTTTCAGTAGAAAAACTTTTTTAAGCTTGGATTCAAATGCTCTAAGTTAATGTATAAAATTTTCCCACTGCTCACTGCACTTTCCCCCTTATTTTTGGCCCTTTTTGAATTTGTCAAACTGATTATCATTGCAGATGACTGTTGCTTTTACATCAATCATAGCAATATTCATCATTGAACGGATTGATGAGAGGAAGGGAATGATTTCAATTATACCTCTAATTTTGGCGGGTATAATAAGCATTGTGTATTGGAGGCAAGCCCACTGTTTATTTTGTTTTGCATCTTTTATGACTATAAGTGGAGGCAACTATTCTTCATATGGATAAAACATAAAACTAAGTGTGGATTCTGCAAATATATTTGCCATATATAGTTTACATGGTTCATCGTGAGGGATAATAAATTCATGGAATATTTCAGATAGCCAAAAGTCTGATTAGTCAATTTCAATTTTATTATTCGTTTATGTGTTTTCCATGTCAGAATACCTATTAAGTACTTGAATGTTTACCAGTGTTATATGAGCTTCAACTCTTGAAATGATTGCTCTTGTCTTTCATTTACCCAGGTTCTTCGATGACCTCCGTCCATATGCTCTGATACAATTTGTACCATGCATTGCCATTCCTCTGATGGCTATTTTGTTGCCTCCGATGTACACACATTCGACATATTGGCTCTGGGCTGCAGGTTTGGATTTCATATTTATATTATGGTATCATTCCTCCTCAATGTTCATGATGCCTTGCTTAGATTTTATATAATTTATTTCCAGGGTCTTATCTTCTAGCTAAGGTTCTAGAGGCTACTGATGAGGTGATCTATGAATGGACGCATCATATTGTCAGTGGTCACACACTTAAGCATCTGTGTGCAGCAATGGTTCCTGTCTTCTTAACATTCATGCTTGCTAAGAGGACTGTTGAACCTGAGAGGTATGTACTTGTCTGCAACATTAAACTGCATATAATTGATCAATTTTATTTCTGAATTTGAATTATCTGCAAGAAAACTAATTGTGGGAACACATGATGTAGTTAGCGTGCAATGAATTTGCATTGGGCTTTTGGGGTCCTATGTGCTCTGTTAAAAAGTTTCAGCCTTGGCTATTGGGATGTACATGGAGTTTGGAAAAAGAAATGAAACATAAATGAACTTTAAGATACGGAACCTAGTTGTTGAAGATTTTTCTGCTTCTCTGCCTGGCTAAATGATATATCTTGATTCCAAACATTTACTTAGTGTTCTTTTATTGCGTTTGGATTACAAATTCTCAAATCAAGGCATTCACTTTCACTAGTAAACATGCTCTCATATCAACACATTCACTTTCACTAGTAAACATGATCACTTTTATTGATAATAGAAGAGAATAGAAGAAAAGATAAGAGCCGCAGCCCCCAAGACTGGGAGAAATCTATAGATTCCCACCAACAACAATATTCTCCACATTGTTCCCATATTCCCCCACTACACCCATGTAATAGACTCAACCCTCTCTCATTATAACCAACTCTGCCCCTCCCACTAATTCTTGCCTATAGCTGTATCGGGCCTGGAGTTGGACATTCAGGCCTACAGGAATACACTGGGAGAGGCTTGGGAGTGTGATTCCTATCAGAAAATCAATCCTAATTTCTAAATATTAATTCAAGTGAGTGAATTGAAGATGTAATACTTATAACTTGAGAAATGAAAGGTTGTGACCAATCGTATGTGTGCGATCATTTCTAAGGAAGGCGACTCTTGGAGAACTTCACTACCTTAATGAGACGGTAGGGGGGGATGTGGGACAAGCAGAGTCCACTGAATCACATTCATGAGTGGAGTCCTTTAACATCCACTATAAAAGGGGGTTCTTGTGAAGAGAGAAGGTGTCACCCTATGTGAGGGGGATCAAGTGTAATGGAGACGGTTTATTAAGTTTGTCCAAAAAACTTGTAACGGGAGGATTTCCTCAAGTCTGTTCAGGAAACTTGTAATGAGAAAGATTTCTCAAGTTTGTCAAGAAAACTTTTAATTTTATTTGGAATAGTTAATATTTGTTGATATGTTGTCGCGAAGAGTCGAATTATGTTAAATTTGTTGCTTTCGCCATTTATATGCATGGTGTTGATTGCGTGTGTTCTATCCTTTGTTCCTTGTGTGTGAGAGGGTTTTTACCCAACACTCAGTGTATTCCTTTTTTTTTTCTCCCCTTTTCCAGGATATATAGTTAATGTGTATTAGATTCTACATATTTTATTTAACTAACCAAATAATTATGGGAACAAGAGTTTCAAGATTGGCAGCCTTGTTGTAAAATTTCCTATCTGAGGTCAACAAGAGCAAGTTAGGAAACCCCATTCATTTTTTAACAAATTAAACTGTTATTATCTTGTTACCAACAATACTCACCCATGATTGGATTGTAGGTGGACAACTTGCAGTTCACTTTCAATTGTTTTTTAGAAACTAATTTAATTGCAATATCAATTTTACTGACTACTATCTTGATGTCATCGTGATCTGCATGCAGGCAAAGTTTGCTTAAAACGTGGAGGGTTTCCTGGACGAAGTTCAGAGAGGGCAACTCAAAGGTTGAGAGCTACACTTACTCTTACTCAAATGTGCAGACTGTGGAGCCCCAGTAACGTGCTACGTTCCTTAGAACAAAAAATAAGGGCTTATACTGGATTACAGAATATTGTTATACTTGATCGTGGACTAGGAAAAACAAGCCATACCAAGTTAACTTTCACACAATAATATTAACCGTAATTAATTCTTAGTCTGTATAGTTCATGATTTTTTATCTCATAGCTAGGATCGTTTTACCTTTGAATCACTGAATGTGAGTGTTGTATATTTTTTGTTCAGTATGGTATTGATTTGCACACCTCCTTCAAACTCTAGTAGTGCTTGTCACGAGAAATCATATTGGTATTAGGATATTCCTGGTATGTTGCTTTGCGGCCCGTGCTGCATCACAAGAAATTGATGTTGACCTGAAGTGAATATTTGATTATAAAGAACCAAAAAGAAAAATAATACACAATGACAGAATCACCTATTGCATATTTCCAGATTCTAACTAAGGATGGGAAAAAATATAAACTTTTTTATAATATTTATGGGAGAAGAAAGTAAGAAAAAAAATATTTTTTTTTTTGTTATAATTCAAAATTAGTTTATATATAAATTAAAAATTAACTTTTAAATACAAATTAACTTTTGCGTAAATCAGTTTTAGTTTATAGGAGAAATACATTTTATTTTATTTTCTTCTCTCACATGTTTATGGGAAAATTTATTTAAACAAAATCATATTATACATATTAATTAGTGTCTCTAGGAAGTAGAAATTAAAGAAGCAACTACATGAAGTTGCTCATCTTGTTCTGAAATTAAGCAACTTAGCATATCATTGAATCAAATGATTTTTTTTTATAGAAGTTGCAACTACAATTAAGTTTGTGTTTGGATGAGCTTGTGTAAAATTAATCTAATTTTGAATAACACTGATTAAAATTGATTTTGATTAAAATGATTTTGAAGCAACGTAACTTACGTTTACATGTTTTTACCTTAATAACAAATTTAATGTCAAACTTAATTAGTGTAAAATTTTCAACTCTATGTTTTATTACTTTTTAGTGAAACCAAGGTTTGGAATCATCAATTCTAATATTGTCTATCATGAAACACTTCTTCTTAACTATTAATTAAAAAATGTTGAGGGTTTTTGTGTAAAATAAGACTCGCTGAAAATAAGAATTAAAGTTAGATTCTACCATATTAATTCCACAAAAATAGCAAATATATACTATAATAAAGGTTAATAAGTAATAACGAAATTGAATTCATGGATCGAAGATGATCTACGTTATTATAAAAAGGCCTGAGCCATTTATTTAAGGTGCACACATGCAGTAACTGTATAATGTATGTATACATGCATGCATATAATAAAAGAGCAGAAAGTTTATTCATTCAGGTGGAGGAACATTGCGGACAAGTGAATCAATAAAATCTGCAACACTTATGGTGTCCTCAGCATTGATATTTGCAGTCCCCGTATCCTCAACCAGTTCCCATGGCCCATTGCCACCTTCTTCAGGTCCCCGAAACACCAGCACTGTGCTCTGCCGACCAGATGATTGCTCACTCCCTCTCACACCCAACCTCAACTTCCCCATCTGAATACTCAATTCCAACAAACAACATATATTATTAATTATATATCTACCTCTCATTTACAACACTCAAATTAATTTCTTCTTTTTACCTGTCGTGTCAGTGACTCAACTTCGTATTTAAGCTTCGATTCCGCTAGCTAAAGAAACTCTAGTAGTAGTTAGCAATCACATGCATGTACATATATATATATATATTTGAAGGCTAAGATGTATAGACATATATTTACCTCAACACTGACCATGGCATCTTGATTTTTCGGATCTAGCTCCAAAACTACATCATTTGCGAATAAATAACCAGTTAAGCATATATAATATTAATATATAGCTGTCCTTAATGAGTGAGTGTAAAATGTAAATTAATAAAGACATATATCTATATAATCAGATACCAACCTTTAAGGAAACCCTCTCTGATAGCCTCGAGGTTCTTGCCTTGCTCATAATAAGCACAACCAATGCGATAATATGCCATCACATATCCCGGCTTCAGTTTTATTGCTTCATAGCAATCACGAATTGCGTCCTCAAATCTTCCAACCTTCGTTAAAACTGCAGCTCTGCAAGACGTGCATATATATATATATATAACAGCACAGCATCACATGCATATATCATTCATCGTAACAAAATACGAACACAACATGCAGCATATATATATATATATATATATATATATGTATTGTATTGAAAATAACACATGCACTATTGGAAGTTACATATATATATTGGCCTTACCTGTTGCAGAAGTAGACAGCATTATCTTTCAGCAGTGCAAGCGCCATACTATACAAATCAATAGCATTGTCATACATTTCGCAATGCATTGCTTTGTTTCCTGGAGATAAGTGGATATATAAATAAATAACAAGTGTAAAAGCTGGATATATATAAGTTTATAAGAATTTTTAAAAGATTTTTTTTTTATTTTCCATAAAAGAAACCGAAAAAAGAAGAAGAAAAAAAACCTTCTAACTTATTATCATGATTTTACGTACCTAGTATTTTCAGTCCGTCAGCTAGGTTCTTCTCGTCGAATGTCACATGCCCAGCTTCTACCAATACCTGTAATGTTTTAACTAGCAAGATACATGAGGAATGGAGAAGTGCTATCGAGGATCCGCAGCTGACAGTATACTATATCATTTACCATATTCTAATTAATATTTTTGTATGATTAATTACCAAGGAACATTTTATGTCAAACAGAGACTAATCTTCTTTAAAAATTTAATAGATACTAACTAGATGAATATCTTTTCCTAGCTGGAGTTTTCTACATGCATCAGTTAAGCTGTCATCAATTAGAGCCAGAGTAAGAAAAGGAACAAAAGATTTGAGTTCCTGTTAGAATAGATGTGTAGCTAGAGGTAGTCCTAGTAAGTAGAGTACCACAAGCGAGAAAATAGCTAGCATTATTTTAAACATGCAGCAAAGACATATATAGACGAATAATTTATATCTATAGCTATAAATAGTCAGAACATCATAAATATATAAAGATATATGACAAATTAAAAGACATATATATATTTATATATATATAGATACCGATATTGCGTCCTTAAAAATTTGCTTGGCGCGGCTTTTTCTCATCCAGTAGTCTCCACGTGTCCCCTCAAAGAACCCAAGTGGTGTAATTGCCATTTGAAAATAATGGAACAAGAAGGCTAATGTCTCATTTATCTCCATCATTGATCCTGCCAATACAAACACCACATCATACGTTTTTCCAATGTAAAATATAGATAAGAAAAATGCTGGCGACAAACTAAACCATGATACTTGTTTAGCATCACTATAGCAAATATTTAACAGCCAATACATATATATGAATTACATATATAGAATATATAAATTATTGAACCTCTACCTTTTAACATATATAATTGATATTTTCATTATACCTACGGTAAAAAAGGGTCGTTGAATAGGTGGTGAAGCTGATGTACTTCCATTTTGTTGATCTGAAATGTTTGGAGGTGTAGATTCTAGCATCGCTGGATTTAGACTGAAAAGAGCTACAATTGTTTCTCTCAAGTTTCTAACTCTTTCTTGATCCACTAATGATCGAGCTGAACTTTGAACTGACAAAATGGAAAAGGGGAACCATGAAATATAATCAATTAGTTAGTGAACATATATATATATATACAAAATCACATGACACAAGTATACTTGCATATTCCAACTCTATCCCGTGCTGTTGAGATATTATAACCTTTGAAATGAAGTATATTATTATACCTAAAACATTCGATATATGTACTCTTAAAGACACATATGGAAGCTCTTAATTTTTTATTTTTTTTCATCTACGTAGTACTTGAAGGTGCATATATGTGCTTGGTTTGCTCTCATGTGAATGGAAATTTTTTCGTATCAATCTATATATAGCTGAAAGTACTAGCTATATCTTAATTAACAGTAGATTCAATATATAGCAAAATAAATCTTCGCTCGAGCTAACATAATATATTCTTCCTTTCAATTTTGGGGCAGACTAGATATATATACAAAATATCCATGAATTAGACAAGAGGTAAAATAATTAAAGTATTGCAAGTATATATCCTTGTAATGGAATAAACATTATATATACTAGTAATTACAGGGGACCGGTGCTGAGGGATGACTTATAATAACGAGAACTAAATATTACTTAAAACATATTAATAAATGTTTGTTTTAAAACAATCAATACATTCTACTAAACAAGCAATACACCATATTTGGCTTGAAAATAATTAATTCCTAACTATTTAATATTTGGATGAATTTTTTTTAGAGAATTTAAAATTTAAGTATTTGAGAAATTTTTTAAAATAGTATAATTTTAAACTCTCCTAAAAAAGTAAGAATTTAAAATCTTTCATTTTTTTATCTTCTATCTCACTTATATATCTTTTATCTCTTTTTGTTATTAAAAATATCAATAGTTTTTTTAAAATATTAAATATTTAAAATTTGGTTACTGTTTATTTTATAGTTTAATTTTAAAATTTGAATATATATTTATTTATTTGAAATCAATTCTTCCTATTATCTAAGTTAAATTGTTTAATTCAAAGTAAGAATTTAAAATTTAAGAAATATGAATTAATTTATCTAAACAAAACATTTAAAAATAGATAAAAATTAAAACTAAAATAATTTAAATTCTAAAAATTTTAAATTCCTTAAATTATTAAAATACTTGATCCAAACACATCCTTTGCAGTTTTCTATTCACCGAGATCGAGTATTTAATTAATGCTAGCTAGTTTGATCAAATGATTCAATCATTAATGACACAAATTTATCAGGTGATTAGTTCGCGATGAAAGTTATTGTATCATTTTGTATAATCCAATTCAACCAAGGAAAAATCAAACCATATTCAAACCGTATTTGATTTGAACAAAATGATAAATAAAAAAATAAATCGATTAAGTTCAATCTATTCGTTGTAATTAAGTTGGCCTGAAATACTTTTTTTTTTTTTTTAATATATCAATTCCATCTATCTAAAAAAAAAACATATATTTAATTTATAATTCCAAATGATCGAAATGTTAGGTTAAACATTTAACCGGATTGATGAACACCTCTATTGTTAAGCTAGGTAGTTCGTTTCATAATTGAATTTACACAACATTAACCCTATGTTATGTTTATTTTAGAGGAGGAAAGATGAGAAGAAAGGGAAATTTTTAAAATATAAATTAAAGAAAAAAGTGAAGAAAAAAATTCAACAAAATTTAAAAAAATAATAATAATTTTCATATGTTTTAATCTAATTTTCTTATTCTCCTCCAAACATACCATAAAACCTAACCATATGAAACTCGAATTATTTGGGGCAAGGGATTTTAATCCTTCATGTGCAATGATTTTTTTAAATAAAAAACGATCTTGGCAATCCACATGATATCAAACAATAATTAATACATAATTGTAAACACTCATCTTAACACTTTTTATTATTCATCAAAATTTATTAAAAATTACAATTTTTTTTATAGATCTTAATACTTCTCATTTAATGCATATCTTTAAATTTAATGATAAAACCACCAAAATTTATGATTTTTAATAAATTTTAATATTCGATCAAAATAAGTGTTGATAAATAATGCTAGGAAAACTCTTGCTAGATTTCTCTTGTAAAATAAATTGATGAAAAATAGAACAAAATAAATAAATAAATCCTTACACATGCAATATTTATTTTTTCAAAAATATTTTTTTTACTCTTTTTTATTTTGAAATTATCTTTCAAACATGCCATAAAACCTAACCACGGAATTCGATTAATTTGGGGATAAGGGATTTTAATTTTGCATGTGCAAAGATTTATTTATTTATTTTATTAAAATAAACAAATGATCTAGTGAATCCACATGATATCAAACAAGGATTGTAAAAGAAAAAAGAAGAAAAAAAAAACAATAATTGATGCATAACAAAAATGGTAATAACAATGATGCATGCTCTAGAAATCAAATATGTATATAGCAGGACACTAAAGAGATTATGTGTATTAAAATGAATAGGGACATTGAACAAACCGAGGGCGAGAAACTCAAGGAAGGCAAGCACAATGTGAATTGCAATTGCAGTTTGGTCAACTGGGTTTGTCATCTTCAAAATTCAAAGGATCTGAGACTATTAAAGCTATGTGAGTGAAACTGTGACACATTCAGTGGCCACTTTAAACACAAGTCATGTCATTGCAACAACCATATTCCTTTCACGAATATCCTCATTGTAAAAATATTAATCGGCAGTTACAAAATGCATGTTGTTCATTCAATTTTTAGGAAAAAAGTATCGGCACGTACACAATTCCAGATTGCTATGCTGAGAAATTTACAATTGGAGTCATTAAAATTAATTCAGATTTCAATGGTTATAGGGGGTAGTTATGTAATTTAATAGCTGCTTTAACTGAACTTTTTAATGGAACATATATCAATTAATACTTTAATTATAATATATTAAAAGTATAACATTCTTTTTTATAATAAAATGGATAAGCACCTCAATACTGTTGAAGTGGGCAAATGGTATTACCATAAAGATGCCGACAGAGGGTCATCTAGAATATTATATTACAGTTAAAGTCTAACTGATTAGATAGTAATGTGAAACTCAAGAATTGTCCAAATAGGTAACAATACGGTATTTTTTTTTTAATCATTTATACACTATTAGTATTAGTGTAAAACTTTTTTTACACCGATAACTAATTATATTTTTTAATTATAATATGTTATTGTAAATATATTTATTTTTAATAGTGATATGACATAATTAAAAAATATAATTAATTATCAATGTAAAAAACTTTATAAGTGATTAACTTTTTTTTTTTTTATGCTTCAAAAATTTTCCCAAGAGATGATACCTCTAAAGGAAACAATGGCATCTCAGAGATTTTCAAATTAAATATTAACATTTATTTAATAATTAAATTATTTACATTCTTTTCTCAATTTTTTGTCAACTTTTTTTGAATATCTTTTTAATTTACCTTTTTAAAAATAAATTTATTTACATTAAATTATTTTCTTCATTCTCTTTTTAATTGATTAGTCACTGTTATCAATTGTAGATACTTCATAAACAAAAAAAAAATTAAAATTTAGATTTTCTGTTTTTATAGTTTAGAAAGTTGGCACAAACGAAAGAAGCGTGCTTGGTTAGGGTTTAGGGTTTAAGATTTAGGGTTCAGGGTTTAGGATTTATGTATGCAGCCGCGTTAAATCTTGGAATTAACGTAGTGAGAAGATTAGTCACTATTATCAATTGTAGATACTTCATAAACAAAAAAAAATTAAAATTTAGATTTTCCGTTTTCAGTTTAGAAAGTTGGCACGTGCTTGGGTTAGGGTTTAGGGTTTAGGGACGATGGGAAGAAGAAACGGTGGGAGGTCTCTGCAAGACACCCTCCGTCGTCGGCTTGAGTCATGTAAGTCCAAATACTCCACCGCCGAACAAATCGCCAACCATCTCCGCTCCACTTACCCCGACTACCACCGAACCAAGCACCAAACCCTAATTCGTTTTGTTCAGGAAGCTCTTAACTCCACTCCCTCGCTCAACCATTCTTCCGACGATGACCATGAAGCTCAGCCTCCAACCGCCTCTCGTAAGCGCCGGAAGAGAGTCGACCAAAGCGAGGAGAGGTTGCAGAGGATCGAAGCCTTGCACGTGCGAAGGAGGCTGCAGACCGATTCCTCTTCGGAGGAAGAAAACGTCTCGTCTTCCGAAGACGCGATTTACGGGGAGAAGGTGGAGCCTCAGTTTGACTTGATGAAGACAATGCTGCGAAAGTCGTATATGCCGAAGAAGGAGAAGAACGTCGAGTTGGAGGTGGGGAATAGCAATAAGGGTACTGTGACTAGCACTCTTATGAATGAGGAAGGGAAGGAAGTCAGGGGTTCGGTTTCGAATGTTGATGTGAAGGGGAATGATTGGCCTAGGTTTAGGGATTTGGGTGGGATGAAGGAGGTCTTGGAGGAGCTGAAGATGGAAGTGATTGTGCCTTTGTATCATCCCCAATTGCCTAGACAGTTGGGTGTGAGGCCGATGGCTGGCATTTTGTTGCATGGACCACCTGGTTGTGGGAAGACTAAACTTGCACATGCTATAGCTAATGAGACTGGTCTTCCTTTTTATCAGATTTCAGCTACCGAGGTGGTTTCTGGAGTCTCGGGTATAATACTATTACCCACTTGGATTTCAGCTTTAACTTGTCTTTGTGGTTAATTCAGTTGCATTTTTTTGTTACTGTTATATTATATTCTAACTTGAAGTGCATTAGGATAACCCTTGTTTTCTGGAATGGAGTTTTAAATGACCTAAGAGCGTGTTTGATTTTCCGTTGAGAAGGTTAGAAAAATGACACTAGACTTGTTGATTGGGGGTGAACTTGCACTGGGACACGTGGGAACTGAATTCCACATATACACTTAGCTGGTGACTGCAGAGTGCTTCAGCTTTGTTATGATCATGATTGCTTAGTTTCATTGCTTTTATTACCTGCGTCAAATGATTTAGATGTGTTCTCTTAAGTATTTGTGTATTTCATGGTTAGGTGCATCGGAAGAAAATATTAGAGAGCTTTTCTCTAAAGCATACAGGACTGCACCATCAATTGTCTTTATTGATGAGATCGATGCAATTGCATCAAAGAGAGAGGATTTGCAACGTGAGATGGAGAAACGAATTGTGACACAATTAATGACTTGCATGGATCAATCAAATAGGCTTCTTCAGCCAGAAAATGAGTCAGAGGGTTCTGATGGTCAACATCCTGGCTATGTTCTTGTAATTGGAGCTACAAATAGGCCTGATGCTATTGACCCTGCCCTGAGAAGGCCTGGTCGGTTTGATCGTGAGATTATTATTGGCATTGCTGATGAATCTGCCAGGGAGGAGATCCTTTCCACGCTTACTAACAATCTTACAACTGAAGGTTTATTTGATCTACGGAAAATAGCCAAGGATACGGCAGGATATGTTGGTGCTGATTTGGTGGCTCTTGTTAACAAGGCTGGTAATCTGGCAATGAAGAGAATAATTGTTGGAAGGAGACATGATTTATCTCAAGATCACATGAACGAGCATGCTGAAGACTGGTGGAGAGTACATTGGTTGCCTGAAGAAATAAATAAGCTTGCCGTCAAAATGTCTGATTTTGAGGTGCTTTAGATTTGTGTCCTTGTTTACTTATTCTTAATCTTTGTAATTGACAAGAGCTTTTTTCTTTAGGTTTATGTTTGTGTCCCTTTCCCTTATCATCGCATCTATAATGTCTTAATCCCAGCTTTTACTATCCTATGGTTGGGAGGGGATATCTTATCCTCCATGTCTTCTTGCAAGTAATTTTTTTTTTTTTATGACCTGTCTTTTAGCTTTTCCTTGAATTTCTGGACATGCATGCAGGAAGCAGTCAACATGGTGCAACCTTCGTTAAGAAGAGATGGGTTCTCTCCTATTCCTGATGTGAAATGGGAAGACGTAGGAGGGCTTGATCTTTTAAGACAGGAGTTTGAACGTTATATTGTAAGGCGTATAAAATATCCTGAAGATTATGAGGTAATAATTGAATACTAACTTTTTAATATTGCATTTTGTGTTGAATTTTATTTCTTTTCTAATTTCCTTGTCTCTTGATTTCTTATAAATGGCTTTTTTCTTTTCACAATTCACACTACCCAAATCTTGTTGAAATTTATGTGCATGTGTGGCTGGATCTATATTTTCTGCATCTCCGTTCTAGGGTAATGATTTCGAGTAGCTGTAATATGTTAGAATCCAATTTCAAGGTATGGGACTTGTGGTCCACAGTATGAAATTCTAATATGGGGTTTGTAAGGCCTTTGGTTCTTTAGTACGACATAGTTAGGTCCTGACACAGAAGTAGTTTGGTCTTGTTTAATTTCTCTTGATTTCCTCCCTAACTGATGATATCACTCTGTTTTCCATTGAACAGAAGTTGTGATGGAATATGCTGCTATCGTGTTAATTGTGTAAATTTTAGAAATTTGTTTCTTAATACAAAGTCTGGTGATTGGCCAGAACTATCATTGTTTTTTTTTCCTCAAGTTAGAGAGTTACTGTGGTATGGGGATTTATGGAATAATTGATAATGATGGTGTTACATTGATCTAGATCAACGTAACAATTATATGCCCTTCCATATCATAAGTATTCACAAAATATCTGATCAATGCTCAGTAATTTCATAGCTGTATATTTAAGTTCTCCTGATAAGTTTCTTGCTCTTTTTCTAGAAAATGATCAATTGATTTGTCTTTGGTTTTTCAAGAAAAAGTATAATAAGTTGTATATCACTATATGATCACTGTTTTTGGATTCATTTTTTCCAGGGACTTGGGATAGATCTCGAGATGGGATTTTTGCTTTATGGACCTCCTGGTTGTGGTAAAACGCTGATTGCCAAAGCTGTTGCCCATGAGGCAGGGGCTAATTTTATTCATGTTAAGGTATGTGTCTAAAAACTCTACCCTTTTGTCATTAGTTTTGATTGTCTTACAGGACATTCCTCTGGTTTGAATAAATCATCTTGTAAATGATTAAATTGCTTTGTTTTTTTTTTGTTTTTGGATTTAGGGACCTTCACTTCTAAATAAATATGTTGGAGAAAGCGAACTTGCAGTTCGTAGAATGTTTAGCGATGCAAGGACATGTGCACCTTGTATAATATTTTTTGATGAGGTTTGTTTGTGGTTCTTTTCTCAAGAATGTTGGTCAACTTGATTGTTTTATCATGATGTTTCAATTTTATTTCGAACCTGTAAGAATATTAGAAAATATTATTATCTGGAATTCTCTTTCTTTGGAGGAACTATCCTGCATTGCCATTACTTTTTTTGTTGTTTCTTTATTTGTTGTTAATTAAATCCTTTTCACTCTCTCACATAAGTGCAGTGATCATTGTTTGTATTTGGTGCTTATCAATTTCCTTGATCTATGAAGGGCTCAAACAAGTTCTCAGCAAACAATTTGTTGTAGAATGGTTTGTACCAGTGTACATAGTAGTTACAACAAGTGTTACATTTTTTTTTTCTATTTTCAGGTGGATGCTTTGACAACCACACGTGGTAAAGAAGGTGGTTGGGTTATTGAACGACTGTTGAATCAGGTCAAATAATTATTAGTCTTTTTTGAATGAGAAAATAGGGCCATTTTAATTGATAACATGGATAGTGACGATTATATGAAATTGCAGTTGCTTATTGAGTTAGATGGCGCAGAGCGAAGACGGGGTGTTTTTGTGATTGGTGCTACAAATAGGTACGTTTTGTTAACCGTTTCTATTCTCTATTTAGTTATTCAACTTGACATCACTCTTATTCAATTCAGTATCTCATTTTGCAGGCCTGAGGTGATGGATCGTGCTCTCCTACGGCCTGGTAGGTTTGGTAAGCTTCTTTATGTTCCACTTCCAAGCCCGGATGAGCGGGTTTTGATATTGAAAGCTCTTGCAAGGAAGAAGTGTATTGATGCCTCAGTAGACTTGAGTGCCATAGCCAAAATGGAAGCTTGTGAAAACCTAAGTGGCGCTGATCTTTCTGCATTGGTTTGTCTCCGCTCTGTATTGATATTGCCTCTTTCATACCTTTACCATTCTTGAATGTTATGTGTTTAGTGTTTGATTAATGATGGTTACATAAGAGAAGTGTAGAGTCAATTTGCGAGATTTACTGATTTTATACTATACAGATGAACGAGGCTGCAATGGCTGTAATTGATGAGAAAGAAACCTTGACCGACTTAACGCACTATACAAGGACCATCAAGAGAAATCATTTTGAGGTAGCACTTAGGAAAGTCTCTCCGTCTGTGTCAGACAGGGTATATTTCTTTCACTCATGAAATCTGATTCCTTATGATGAATTAAAATAGTTTTAGAAATTTACATTCAAATTTATTTTGATTTTTTGAGCAGCAAAAACAGTACTATCAGCGCTTGTCACAGAGCTTTAAAGCAGCATGAGCATGGCTTTGACTTTCTTTTAGCCGCTGATGGAGTGAAAGAAATCATTTATACATCTTAAAGAGTACATATTTCCTGCAATCAGGATATAATTTTTGGCGAATGCTTGTAATTTATTCTTCACTTTATCCATCATATTGCTTGAATATTTTTTAAACAATGTAACTAAAAATTATTTTATATCTTTTGTAAACAATTTTATTAAAATTTATTTTTATTAATAAAGGTGATCTGTGTTTTTTTTTTCCATTTTGTTTTTGTAATTTTTAAATTACTCTTTCTTCCATAATTTTTCTTTCTTTAGTTTTTATTTTTCTTCTCTACTTTCCTGGAAACTTATTTTTTAAGCCTCACATCCTCTAATTAGCTAGCCAAAACCCTACATACCATCTAATCGTTAATCTCATGATATTCAACTTCTATTACTTTTGTTATTTGTTTCATTATTATTTTTTAATTAAATATATGGAAATATGAGGTTTTGTATTTATTTTTTTAAATTTTATGTTAATATCAGTTAAATGATTGAGTAATTACAGAAGTCGGCTGTTGAATTTTCATTTCGTAAATATATTTTAATAATTTGAAGTTAGTATAATTTATATTAGATATCATATTACTATCCCGAGTATAAAGTTAAAATGACCATTTTACATGCTTGAATAGTTCAGTAATTGATCCAGCATGTTTGGTTGTCAAAGCATCCACCTGAAAGTGAAATAAAAGTAAATCTAATTCATGTTGTAACTACTAGGTATAGTATACCATTCTACAACAAATTATATGCTAAGAACTCGTTTGAGTCCTTCATAATTAATGTGTTAATTAAAAATTTAATTGACATTTATTTTTCTTTAAATATATTTTTTCTTAACTTCTACTTCATTAAGACTTTGCATAAAAATAAAATAGTATATTTAGAAATAAAATCTCAATTATATGATAAAATATGTTATTAAATAAGCTAAAATTAATTAAGTTATATTAATTATTTATTTTATTGTTCACACACGTGTATATATTTTGTTATAATAAAATCTAGAAATAAATATAAAAGGAGCAATTATATTCTAAAGAAGCTTAGTGATAACTTGAAAAAAAAATACAAAGGAACATTTTTTTAGGTGAAATCTCATTATTCAGAACTTTGTACGCCACTTGAGGTGCATGGATGTATTGCTCTTTAAATAGGCATTCGTTATGGATAAAAAAATTAAACATTCGTTAATAATTACAATAAGCATAATGAAATCAATTTTAACATTTTTCTTAAAACAAAAAGAATTCGACTTTGATAAGTCGAAAGCACAATTTCTTTTAAAGAAAAACAATTCATTTTTTCAAACTTTGATAATTCAGCTTACAAATTTTATTCACAAAGTCTACATTCAAATCTTCTTACTGTTATTATAAATTTATAATTTCTACACATAAAATAAAACATAAGATAATTCCATTCAAATAACTTATGAATTGCCAAAAATTTATATAATTTTTTCCACAATACATTTTTACCGATTTAAACAATTCAATAAACCTTGCTCCAATCCAACAATTCTAAAAGAATTTATTAAACAGACTTCGTAACCTATCTCACTTTTTTTCCTCCTCAAGTTGTAAAGCTGAAAAAGTGTAAATTTATAATTACTCAATTATTTTATGAGTTTTTTTTTTCCCAGTTGTTTTATTAAGAGCAACTCTAGTTTACACTATTTTCTCTTTTCATTTTTCATTACATTTATCAAATTATATTTCCTTTCTCTCTCTTCTTTTAAGTGTTTTGTATACGCTCTTTTTGAGGTGTAAAGTTATTTACAGTTACACAAACAAAATTCTAGGTTACAACACCAAACGAAACTATTTTTTGATAAATTAATTTATCACGACTTTTATACTGTAAATTTTGGTTGCAAATTTCTTAGTAGTTTGTTCATCACACTAACTTTGTGATAACAACAGTTGGGTTGCATTTCCCAGTGGAATGCATTTATTTAGAGGGAAAAGTCGGGGTACAACAACGCATGAGAAAGAGAACGGTTGCATTTTAAAAAAACTTATCTACTTGCACCAAAATGCGCTAGTTCTTTACATTAAAACTAATAAATCAAGTCCAAAGTTCAAATTGTTCAGTTTAAGCTTATAACAATGGAATCTCTTTTATCCAAATATTTTTCATTCTATTACCTATCTGTCATATCTGAAGGTTCAATTTCTGTCACACAGTCTTTCGTAGCCATAGCATTAATTCTCATATTACTTTGCTTTTGTTTCAGACGCGAAAGTGTCTACCTTCTTGACTATGTTTGTTATTTACCTCCTGATTATCTGCGGCTTCCTTACTCCCATATGATAGAACACTTTGAACTGTGCAACTTTGACCCAGAAATGGTAGACTTTGAACAGAAAGTATTGGAAAGATCTGGTATTGGAGTTGAGGCTTGCATGCCAGAATCAGTTCATGAGCTCCCTCCGAATGATTCCATGAAGCATGCACAAGCAGAAGTTGAATTGGTTCTTTCCAGCATTGTGAAAGATCTCCTTTCCAAACACAAAGTGCATCCAAAAAGCATTGACATCCTCGTGTCAAATTGTAGCCTATTCTGTCCTACACCATCCATTACATCTATGATCATTAACAAGTTTGGATTCCGGAGTAACATGAAGAGCGTCAACCTGAGTGGAATGGGTTGCAGTGCTGGATTGTTGTCCGTAAACTTGGCAAAAGATCTGCTGAGAGTTCACAAAAACTCGTTGGCTTTGGTGCTCAGCATTGAGGCTGTAGCTCCAAATGGCTACAGAGGTGTTGCCAAGTCCAAGCTTATTGCCAATGTTTTGTTTAGGATGGGGGGCGCAGCCATTTTACTATCTAACAGAAAAGAAGACAAGCCAATGGCCAAGTACAAGCTTCAGCATCTCGTGAGAACTCACCTGGGATCAAATGACAAAGCGTATCAGTCTGTTTACCAGGAACCTGATGAAAATGAGATTGTGGGTGTTTCCCTCTCACGATCACTTCTAAATGTAGCTGCTTCAGCTTTAAGGACCAATATAACAGACTTAGGCCCTCTTGTCTTGCCGTATTTCGAGCAGCTGCGCTACGGGTGGTCAGTGATTTGTAGGAAAATCTGGGGAAGGGGGAACAAGGAAATCTACATGCCAAATTTCAGGAAGGCTTTTGAGCATTTCTGTATACATGCTGGTGGTAAGTCAGTCATAGATGCGATAGAGGAAAGTCTCAAGCTGCAAAAGAAAGACAGTGAAGCCTCAAGGATGGCATTATACAGATTTGGCAATACTTCGTCTTCTTCTCTGTGGTATGAGCTGTGCTATTTGGAGGCAAAAGGAAGAGTAAAGAAAGGCGACAGGGTCTGGCAAATAGCATTTGGAAGTGGATTCAAGTGTAACAGTGCAGTCTGGAAGTGCCTTTCTGATATTGATCCAAATGCAAGGAATGCATGGTCAGATAGGATCCATTTGTATCCAGTTGAGATACCAGCGTTTGACTGTTGAAGTTGAAGTAGGATTAAGAAGCATTAGCAAGTCAACAGTTAAAATGTCAATGGACATCACTCACTTCCTGTTTCCCTTTTAAAATAACTCGCTAATTCCATATCAATGTCTAAGATAAATTACAACATAGTTTTAAACTTCCGGCTGCTTTATATATTTGATTTTAAGTTTTTGATAATGTGTCTGTCCCTTATGATGGTCCGTGTTAAAGAATAAATTACATGATGGTTAACAACAGTCATAAGCATTTAAGGAGGTTACAATTTGCAAAACAAGACAGGTTATTGACCAGAACTTTAGAAACTATAGGATCAAGATATAACTTTTCGACATGATATATTTATATCTGTTACATATACACTCATCAATCCACACCACAAGAATTTAGGTGTAGACAGGCTATTTATCACAACTTAATCGAAAAAGTAAAGGGGGGAAATATGGAGTGATGCAATGTACCATATAGCTACGGTAACTAAGGGGCACCAAATCAAATTATCAGTACAAAAGGTAAGGTCATCTAACACTATCTCCTCAATTGTAGAGCTTTGCATGTTTTATCTAGTGAGCATTTTGGTTTTAACTTTAACTTGTTGCTTGGACAAAGCCTCTGCAATGAGCTGACGACCAAATAAGTGTGAATTCTTGAGGATTAAATTCCTTGTCGATGAATCAACCACGTAACCTTGGCCTGGCATCCATTGTAGTAAGTGTAGAAGTAAGTCCTTCTTTTCAGGTTGACCTAAATAGCGTGATACAGCCATTGCAAATAAATCCTACACGAGAAAAAACAAAATATGAATAAATTGTGTAAAAAGTTGAAACAAAATAATACAAACCCTAGCTCCCGAATTTCTGAAAATCCTTGAACTTGGACCTAGTTCTTCACAAATTAAATCAGTTATTCTAGTTTTTTTTTTTTTTTTTTTTTTTTTTTTTTTTTTAAATTCTGAGTGGATTACTCTTTACTGTATGTAACTATCACTCATCTGGAGCTTAGGTTTGCTGTGAATGAAGTTTGTCAATTCATGGCTTCCCCATTGGAAACTCATTGGATTGCCATTAAATGTATCTTAAGATACCTTGAAGGTATTTTACACTATAGTCTCATGCTACACCTACATCCCACTACTCCTAACCAACCTCTTGCTATTAGAGGTTTTTGTGATGCAGATTGGGCAAATGATCCTGATGATAGAAGGTCTACCTCTGAGCTGCTATTTTTCTAGGACCCAATCTCATTTCATGGTGGTCTAGGAAGCAAGCTGTCATCTCTAGGTCCAGCACAGAAGCAAAATACAGAAGTATAGTTGCTGCCACAGCTGACATTCTTTGGATCCAAACTCTCCTCAAGGAGCTCTCTGTCTCTCATAATGTTCCACAGATTCTTTGTGACAATCTTTGAGAAGGTTGTATCTAAACAACTGCTTGTCCAACACATTCCTGGCCATGATCAGTGGGATGACATTCTTACTAAACCTTTATACTCCTCCAGATTTTCCTTTTTTTGTAACAAACTCAATGTTTCTGAGCTCCCTCCTTGAGTTTGTTGGGGAGGGGGCCGAGTGTATTACTCTTTACTATATTGGTTAAGTTTTAACCGAAGTCATGTAATATAGTTAGTTGTAACTGATTCAGTTACACTGTTGTAACTGCTTCTATACCTGAGCCTCTGTATAAATATATCTTGTAAACAGAGGCTCAATCATCTTTGTATTTTTCATAAATAGCAATAGAATACAAATATATTTTCTCTCTAATATATTCAAACTGCTGAAATCAATTGTAACTGATTCAGTTACACTGTTGTAACTGCTTCTATACCTGAGCCTCTGTATAAATATATCTTGTAAACAGAGGCTCAATCATCTTTGTATTTTTCATAAATAGCAATAGAATACAAATATATTTTCTCTCTAATATATTCAAATTGCCGAAATCAATTAAGTTTAACATAATTTTTTGCATTGAAATGGCATGATTTTTGGTTTTAGAAGTTCTTTAGTGTGGGTGTGATTATGAAAAGGAAAAAAAGTCATGAATTAAATGTCACTAAATTACCAAGCTTATTACCTGATCAGGCTTGTATCCACAATCATGGAGAGTCTTCAAAACATCATTTATGAAGTTGATGTTACCTGATTTCATAAATGCACTGGCAAATTTTTTGGTGGTAGGACGAGAAATAAATGTTGCATTATCCTGAACAGGATAAGATTCATCAGATGAACTGCAATGGAAAAAGAAAAACTAGGATTTATGTATTCCTAAAACCTGGAATACCTTGACTACTACATATGCGTCTTTCAAAAGCTGTCCTTCTAGGAGAATATGCAGAATCTTCTCATGAAGGGCCTTGCAAATTGTTCGCTTGCTATATTTCAACAGATTGTATACAGAAAATGCCTCTGAATAAGCATTTACCTGACCAAGGTGGGATATTAAAGAGGAACAGAGTTCCTACAGGCAGAGGAAGGCATTAGAAACTTTTATTTAGTCACTGAACTGGTAGCAGATGGAATAAAAATAGCAGTTGCTTTATTAAATGAAGCATTCTCAGTTTCCTAAATTAGGCAAGTGCAACTTCACATTCACACACTTTTCCCTTTCCCTATCATTCTTTTATAGGTCTTTTATTTTTTCTTCAGGGATGCAGCCGTTTCCATCAGGTAAAACTGTTAAATGCTTACTTGTATATTAGGAAAATCAAAAATCACTATCTTTGTAGAATAAAAGAAAAGAATTAAGATATCACAATCTCAAATAATGCAACAGAATAAAAAATTGTAGAAAGCAGAAATCTACACAAGGTTCTCGGCTATGAAAATGTGAAAATCCATAACAAGGACTTAAAAAATACATAAAAAAGTAGACCCAGTGCAGAAGGCTCCCACCTAGTGGGGTCTAGGGAGGGTAGCTGTATACAGCCTTACCCCCACAAGCAGATAGGCTGCTTCCAGGATTTGAACCTGTGACATCTAGGTCACAAGGTAGCAACCTTATGATTAGTTCACTCTCACAAATATCCAAAAAGATGCACACAAATAATAAAATTAAAAGGACAGGTTTCAGTCACATTCTGAGAAAGACCAAGTTGAATTATACAAGGGACTCCATACTAGTATTAGTACTTGGATAAAACACCATACCTCCACTGGTTGATGGCCTTTACTATGCATGTCCTTCATGGTTTGATAAGCTAATAGATACATCTTTTCTTTACAGAAATATTTGATTAGAATATGGAAGGTATTATAGTCAGGACTGATAGCCAATTCATCCATCTTTTTCAGAGTTTCCATCACACTTTCCATTTCGCCTGCTCTACAGAAAGCACAGAGCATTGTATTCAGTATAACTAGGTCGTATTTGTTAGATGTTGTTTCAAAATCCTTGGCTAACTGCTTTGCCTCCTGAAAAAGCTTGGCTCGGCAAAATGCTGATATCATGATACTATGAGCATAGCCATCTGCAAGTGGGAAACAAAACTCTAAATTATTACCAATAGAAATCTCAAGTCTGGAGAGTTATAAGAACTAAAAGCTTAGCAGCATAAAAAAAAAACAGAAATCTCGGTTAAGAGTAATGAAGATCTATACATTATTATAATATTATTAGTTCCAAGAACCGAGATTCCTGCAGTACTACAAAAGATGGAATGATAGGAATAAGTACAGTAACAAGAAGGATACTGTGTGAACATATTTCCATAACTCCAAAAGTAAACTTACCTGATCTGACATGGTTTTTCATCATTTCATCAAAAATTAGTTTGGCTTCATGTATTTGTCCTGCCTTAGCTAGGCCATCCATGAATATACAGTATGGCATCTGCATATAAATTCAAACTAGCTAAAAATTATAGTTGAAAAAGAAAGATATGGGAAAAAAGAGAGGATAAAAAGGACATATAATTTACCCTATGAAATACATTTTAGGACATCAATTAAGTATAGAAAATGATGATAAGTATATTAAATTATTTTGGAATGTTTCAGACCCAAACAATCTTTCATTGTTCATTTCAAAGGTTTTTGTTACCTCATCTTCAGCATAGCCCAAAGATTTCAGTTCAGCTAATAATTCTCTTGACTTCTCAAACAAGCCTCCTTTAACATATACCTTCAGTAAGGTTGTCAAAATGACCTGCAATTCATTTTTTTATATAAACTTGAGTCATTTTTATTGAAGAGTCAAATGTTAAAAAGCGACATATAGGAAACATATAAAAGGCTTGCATTTCAATGAGACAGAGATATTAAGTGAAAGCTCAAGAATGGTTTTATATTATATCTCACTAACACACCCCTTATACAAGGTTCCTTTGGGCTTGAAGTGTGAAGAATGCACAGGCCCACCTACCTTGTGCTTAAATTCAACTTTTTATTAAAAGATGATGGTGGTAAAGATTGAACAGTAGATCACTTAGTCGTAGAGGCTTTGATACTGTGTCATGAACCAACTGCAGCTTAAACTGATACGTGAAGTCACATGAATGATTTTATATAATACAGCACTATTGTCCAAACCATACAAGTGATTATGAACCAAATATAAGTATCTTATGAATATTAGTATGTCCTCTTCATGTCATAGATTAAACAAGAATCATGGCATTGAGAAGCATGAGTGTGCAAAATTTTTCTACAGTAGATAAACTTGAATTGGATTCTTATGTAATATGATTTATTTTTATTCAATACAAGTTTATTTCATGATCTCTGTGATCAAAGCTTTTCTATAGTTAATCGCTGTTGAAACTGATCTTGGGATTTGCATTGTAATTCAGAAATTAAGCATAAACTAGGACTGAAGTTATTTGCCATAATTGTTGTGTTTCTAGGAATAGAACTTCATAAATGTTAGTTCTTAAGAATCATTGTTCTCGATGCTTAATGAAATTTTGGATTATCTAAGGGATTAGAGATCCTAGTTTGGGTTAAGGGGTTTTGAATCAAGGAATTGATCTTAATATAATCTTTTTGATTCAAACTACAAAATCATGTTATAACTTGGATTGAATGTAAAATTAGGTGCATAGGAAGACAAGGAAGGGAATTCATGCCCTAGCCCTACTTAATTTCTTGATTGATTTTTTTTTAAATTTTTTAAAATTTTAATTTATTTTTTACTTTTTTTTAAAAAAAAATTTATAATAGTTGCTATTTTAATTTCCTTTTCTTATATTAGTTTTTTAATTCTTAAAATTTTCCACTGATTTTAATTTTTCTCAAATAGTATTGATATTTGGTACTTGTAGTTGAATCAATCCCCATGGAAGCAATACTTTACTTACTATTTTATTATTTGATAATTGATACGATTGGTATACTCGTTTCATTGAAAATAATTTTGTCCATCTTCTACAAATCTTCATCTATATCTAGCGTGAGGTTAAGATATCCTACAAATGTCCCTATTTCAATTTAGATCACAGTGAACAATAGTCTTGCCTTGCCTTTGTAATATTATCAAAAACCATTAAAGTTTACAAGCTTTATTCAGGCAGAAACATCCTATAACATGATTTAACAGTTATTCACTGACTTCTAAGGGTTGGTAAACAAAACAGCCTACTCCACCATTCAGTGATGTAGAGCCATAATAGCAACAGTACAACATGCTAGTCAAATTGTCATCTTATAATTAGTAAATGACGAGGAAAACAAACCTTGTTTGGTACTAACCCCTCAGATTTCATATCTTGAATCAATATATCAGCTTTTTTGTAGTTTCCGGATGCTGAATAAGCATTGAGCAAAGAGCTATAGTGATAAACGTTTAGTGAGTGACCTTCATCCTTCATCTGGTTAAAATAGCATTCTGCTTCTTCCAATTTACTATTGGAAGCACACACTGCCAAAATTGTTCCATAAATTACACCATCCATCTGCAGTTTATTGTGTTGCAATTCCTGGATTAGCTCTAGTCCCTTAGAATATCCATTTTCTATTTTAATGCAACCTGCAAGAAGCTAAAGATGAGAACAACAAAAATCAGAAAGCAGGAAATGATTAAATCCTAAAGTTAGAGTGGTGTATACCCCAAAATATAAAAAGCCAACATTTTAGATGGAAGGTCAAGTAGAGAGCATCCAACATCAGGCACTTTATATATTTCCCTCTCTTTTAAAGTTATAACGCCAAGCATGTTGAATTAATCAACATCCTAAGAAATCAAAGAGCAATAGCTCAAATATATATATATATATATATATATTAGCCTCTGTAAAAAATTCTTATCGATTTTAAATCATGAAAAGTTGAGTCTTTTGTGTTTTAGTCTTGAATG